GGAAAAATTCAGGGAACAGGTCCTCCGGGAGGGACTTTAAGCTGTGGGTCCCGTGTCGTAGCTTTACGGCACGTAAAAGAACCTCATACCTCCAAAGGAGGTCACTGAGCAAAATTGCGGACGTTTGCCGCCCAACAGCAGTCACTAATACCTCCGGTAGATGGGGGAAGCATTATAGATACTTCTCAGCCAGTAGAGAGCCGGTCTCGCTGGCTGGCTGGGACTGATGGTAAGCACCAATACCGGTAGGATATAGAGGCTGGTAGAAATCATAGAGGGAAGCACAATGGACCACTACAGGTCTAAGTGCATGGGGAAACCCACCCTCTCTAATAACTAACTAACTAACTAACTATACAAACGACTCGGGACTACAAGCAATTACAGCGCTATCGCTGACCTACACGCATTAAAAATCACTACAGCCCACGCTAAGTCTTCTCAGTCAGCTTTCACTAGTCGTTTCCTGGTAACGGATCCTAACAATAGAGATTCTTCAGTTTTTGTGGCCATGCCGTTGTCCACTGGATAACACTCCACAACTCAGGATTTAATTTAATTATAGCACCACGTTTTCTTAGCCTCCCTTGCAGAACTCAACTCATGGTCAAAGTCAAAGTCATGTTACGACAGTCGGTGTTGGAATAAATCACCCATCTGAGGCTTACGACCACATCTTTATTACTGTCACACAGTTGCAGCTTTGTTGAAGTGGAGCGCTGTTTCTGAAGAGAGGACGGGTCTGTCGTTTGCCAAAGTCGCAGTCAGTAGTGTTAAGTCTGTTGGCAGTATGTGTGCAATTTGCATTTTACGCGATACTAAATGTATATACAATGCATACAAGGCCTCTGTCAGTGCAGGCTAGTACAGCAGATCATGTCCTATCCTTCAACTCATTGGTCCATCTGTCCGGGTTGTAACTTATCGCCACGGACGGCATAGAAAACACCGTTCTTCAATTGTCGCGTTCATGTCCGTTGCAGTGCAAACGTGTTTACTGAACCGGTGCCCAGAAACGGGTTGCATAACCCTATTTATTAAGAATCTACTGCCGTAGCAACGGGCGTTGTTTCGCGACCGTTACCCAGCTACGGGTTCATGACTTAAGGGCATAACTGCAGGAGGTGATTTCCTAGGTCTGTGACCAAAAAAGTTCATATAAAAATGTGTCCGATTTTGGACGGTTACGGAGTTATGACCGTTTTAAACTCAGAAGAGAAGGTAACGATTACTGACAATAAACGGAACAAAATAATAAACCAGCATAATACATGATACATTTAAAGTATGAATGTAAAGTTAACTTCGTGAAATTACCTTTAATTTGAATTTATTGGTGCTTAAAGCTGATTTTCTAAAATGCCACCGCCGGCCGCAACACAGGCTGCCGCTCGGTTGTGAACCGCGCCGGACATACCAACCCACCCCGCCTTAGGTANGAGAGAGAGAGAGAGAGCGAGAGACTGTATTACACTTTTCCATGAATTTTATCTAGACATATTTGCTGCATGAGTGCAGAAGGCGCCCAAGACTTCAGACTAACCCCACCATACCATATATGTTGTTGACATTTCGAAGAAATATACAAAAAGAAGATGAAGACGAGGTTTGGGATTATAGGAATCACGAGTGTCAGCCATCAGATGGCTCGACGCCAGAAAGTGTTCAAGTGTCTATATGAGACCTCAGAATGTGTGGTCCCTGTCAAGCATCCGCGTAGCATTCTCATGTAGATGGCGACTCTGTGTGTATGTTATGCGCCACGTACTCACGTGAGCCCCTAGCCGGGATAGCTCAGTTGTAGTACTGTGACTAAGTTCGCGGCAGGGGCAGAGTCCTTCCCTTTTCAAAGAGCCGCGCTGTGGGCACCTGGAGGTCTTTCCCTGGCACGTGTCGAGGTTAACAACGCGTGAAGCTGTACCTTAATTTCCCTGTAGTCTTGATGGCCTGGTGCTTAATTACACGTAGGCTTTCACCTTTCATCTACTGCTCAGTAAGCCGGAGTAGCTCAGTATAGTGACTGTGCTGCAGACTAGGGGACTATGGTTCGATTCCTTACAGGGGTAATTCTTTCTTCCATGGGTCCAAACCGGTTCTAAGGTCCATGCAGCTTCCTATCAAACTTGTGAGTAGTGGGGGCTATTTCGCTGGGGGTAAAGCGGCCGGAACTCAAAGCAAATCGCTCACTCAGATCTAATGCCGATGTTAAGAATGTGTGGAGGCCTCGCCGGCTTCCCACACCGACAGCCCGGGTTGGATCACCAGGTCAGGACATGTGTGATTTGTGGTGGACAACGTGGTACTGGGGCAGGTTTTCTCCGAGTACTTCGGTTTCCCTTCACAATTCTCATTCTGCTGACTGCTCCACATTTATGATCATACGGGGCTAATACAATAGGCAACTTAATGGCCGACATACCAAGTGGACTCGGTCTCACCCCACCCCAAGAAAAAAAATAGAATTTGTGGGACTGTAACTCCACACACACGTCTCAAGCAGCACAAGACATTTTTGCCCCAACGGAAAGGACTCTCAACATCACAAAAAACAACCTCCGAAGTACAGCCAGATCACTGTATGAATATTACGTATCAAGCTGATGTTTACTTTCCTTGTATAATCAGTACCTCAAGGTTACCAAACTGTGGCCCGTGGGTCGGAAGCGAACAGCGAAATATTCTACCATAAAGGTAACACGAGACTTTACAATGGACTCTGTCTGTGTTATGTAGTTACAGGACAAGGATTCTGATCCGTGGAGTTGGTAAGCCCAGAAAATGGAGACAGATACCTACTAGCAGACCTAGTTATATTAAAATTGGCGAGATCTAATCCTTGAAGAGTTGGTAAATGGGTCATTAACGGATATAAAACGTAAAACACGTGATATTCGAACGTGGAAAAAACATTTATTTCTCAACATGTCCTCCACTAACACTGATACATTTTTCACATCGCTTTACCAGTGCACAGAAACCCGCAGCATAGAAGTCTCTTGACTGTTCTCAGCCACTTGCGCTTCAACCTCCTCGTCCTCAGCCAAACGTTTGCCGCCCAGTTGTGAACCGCTTTATGCGACAAACACTTCCCATTGTAAACAGGAAACATTCCTTTATGATTATGCTTTGCTCACAAAAGAAACAGCACAACAGAACGCTGCTCTTCGGTATTACACTTCTCAAGCACAGTCTTCATTTTAACTACAGAAACCAGTCTCTAAATATACGCAAGTGCGTCTGCTACCTAGACTCTCATGAAGATGGACTGTGCTGCTACCTAACGATACACATAGAAAACCTATTACGTCCATTACCGCTGCTGTACTTCCATTTGTGACTTATTTACTGACTCTCCATCGTAGTATAACGTACCAGGCCTACAGTACTTTTTTATTACCTCATTAAATGTCTCCACAAATTGCTGCGCTTCATTTCCACTGTTGGACATTCTCTCACTCACGCACCATCAGTAGCGCATGCGCGCACGTGTGTACAGGACTTCAATGTCTAAAAGTGTATCAGATTCTTAAACATGCTGTACTTATACATTTTCGCTAGAACATAAGGTGCAACGTACAAGCAATAATTCATCCAAATAATGATCTGCTGCAGGCCAAGATCGCTATTATTGCACACGGACTATGCAGGCCTAAATGCGTTAGAGGGGCCGGGTGGGGAGGGGGCAGCTTTGTCTCATATGAGCCACCCGCCCCCCGAACCGTGATGAAAGGACGTCCAACGGACACGGACGTGTGTGATACTGCAGAGGTGAGCTGGGGTAAGCCTCACAGACAGACAATGTAAGCGAAGAGTAAGATCTTCTGGTTTGTAACAAAATGCAGTTACAAGCCTACCGACGTTTCGGAGGAACGTATCGCCTCCATCTCCTGGATTGAAGAGGAAGCCAAGCAAGTAACCAGCAATAAGCAGCGATGTGTTTCTCCAAGATGTTGGTGGATATCTATCAAACTACAAGCGTTGTAACTCAGAAACCCGTATTCTTCATAGTCGCCGTTGTGAGATGCTAAGATCCAATACAATATAACAGAAACGTTTAAATGGTTTAATTTTCTAGTCACATCCCCAATATACCTTATTTTGAGCTCAAAGGTTTCAGTACAAAAGCCCATCACTTCAGCTATTCAAATCCAGACTGCCAATGTACTATTATGTAAGACGCAGAAAGCAACAGGAGACAGGAGTACATTACGTATCGAAGAACTTAAGAAGTTCTACTCCTCCTCACATATTATTAGGGTGATAAAATCAAGGAGGGTGAAATGGGTGGGACACATGGCACGCACGAGAGAAATGCATACTGTTGGCAGAAAAACCTGAAAGAAAGAGCCACTTACATGACCCAGACATAGATGAGAGGATAATATTAAAATGATTATAAAAAATCAAATGGGAGGGTGTGGACTGGATTAACTGGTTTGGAATTGGGACCGATGGCAGGTTCTTGTGAACATTGTAATGAACCCTTGGATTCAATAAAACTTTGGGAATTTCTGACTGCTGAGTAACTACTAGCTTTACAGGAATATAACAGTATATATATAATATATACAGTGAATATAATTTATTCACCCCCACCCCCAAGTGTCTATTTCTTCTATATTTCTTTCAAAAATGTTGTTTCAATCCAATTATATTCAATTTATGCTACATGCTCAGACCATTTTCTTTCATTTAATTATGTGAATAATAATTAATATACGCATTACATTATAATATTAGTCATTATTTCAGTGAGAATAGTTATTATCTTTACATTCAAGTCTATTAGCTGGCACCAATGAATAATATCCATGGCTCCTAACCTAACTCACAAATTTTGTGCAAATTAATGAACATCTGTACAAGACATTAAAGGGTCTGGCAATGAAACAATGAAAACGCATAATTTGGCCTTATTCTGAGCGAGTTAAATCCAGTTCACACTTTCACAATGGCTACATTTGATGGAACTGACCACAAAATTGTAAGTTTGCACTCACCAACTCAGAAACTGTGGTAAAATACTGGACATCCAATGTCAAAACTCGGTATCTTTGTACCTAGAATGTAACATACTAAATATAGTACACCGTTTAAATGATAAGTTTGCAATTTTGTTTAATTGTAACTGAATCAAATTTAAATCTCATCTCTTCCAAAGTTTGATGCTTAGATAGATTTACAATAAATGGAAATTGTAATATTAACAGCAGTTGTTATATATACCTCCTGCTTTAACGCTAAAAAGCTTTGCATTTTGCACAAAGAGTGTATTTACATGTTCCCTATGATCCTCACAATAAACAGAAATTATTTTCCTAAACAGCATTAACCGGTCTGTCTATGAAAGAAAACACAGTGTGTTTTCTGTGACGTCTGAACTGAAGTCTTGACATTGGTTACATGGATTTCAGGCTCTTAAGGGGTAGAAACTTGTTTCCTGTCTATAATGCAACAATATTAATTTAACAATAATAATTCACTGAATGTCCGTTAAATGTTTAAAATGCCATTACTTACTTACTTACTTACTTACTTACTTACTCACTCATGGAGCTGAGCCCTTCTGGAGGAGCCACCAATTCTGCAGCTACTCAAGAATTTCCCAGCATCTTACGGAACCCGAAGGTTCATTACCGTGTT